TTTTATTTAAGAGGAAAAAGAGAAAAACACAAAACAAACCAAAGCGGTGTAAGGGTACACGTAATACAGAACTACAAAAAAAAAAAAAAAACAAAAAAACAAAAAAAAAACAAACAAACAAACAAAAAAAACATAACAGTAAGAAATCACCTGTTAGTAGATTACATATTATCATCTTGAAAATAGTTCCTCAAATCACAGTATCAAAGAATACAAGGTGGACATTCAAACAGGGAGACTGCAAACATCTGTGTTCAATGATCCAAAAACATTGATATAGTCAGCTATTTAACACCCCTAAACACACTTGCTGTTATATCCGTTAGAGCTCTTTTTCTTTTTCTTTTTCCCTCTCTTTTTTACAACAAAATTTACACATTTTGGATTTTATTACTCCTTAGTGCTTATTACTTTTTTTTGGGGGGGGAGAATACAGTCAAATATGGCAAAACAAAGCTGTCAGTCAATACCAAGGATAGACATAGCACATGGTGTAGAACAGAGTACAAGTTTATCAACAATGGTTATCAACGTTGTCCCTTGTTTCCTTAAAAAGAATTGTCTATCTCATTAGATATTATAAAGTTGGACAAAACAGTAGAGAACAAGACCAATAAAACTTAGGCATTGTAAACATTACAGGACTTCCAAAGAAGACAATAGTCAAACCAGAATGGGTATCTTAGTGAATCTTATTGTCTTCAAAGTAGTTGCCTATGTCTTCAAACTTGATACTATCATATAGAATGGAACAGAGTCTAATCAGTCAAAACAAGATCGTGGGAGTACTACAGGACTTCAAAACAAGTTAATAGGAAATCAAAAAGAGTTACTATTTATATATCCTAATTTTTTGAATTTTTTCTTTAATTAAGACAAACATAAGAAATGACTAATTTTTTTAAAACAAGGGGGAGATTGAGATAAAACAGGACATAACAATATAACAATAGAGGTCACAGCATGACTGTTTCAACAACCTAGTACTTCACCACCATATAACCCGACTTAATAGTAGTTACCATAGTGTCTTTTTCCTTGAAATATTTGGATAAAACTTCATATACTCTAGTTTCAAATATTTTCATATCAAGAAGCCCAGAATAAAGCCTTTCTAATTAATGAGTGAAAACTTTATAAGGCTTCAAGGCCACCTAATGGGGAATCATGATTACCACATATTTTTATATATTTGAATCATTACTTACATTAGGGAAACTATTCGGTATTCACACATGCGAGATTGATTTATTTCACTTATGAGTATGGTCTCAAGCTGCGCCCATTTATTGATAAATATCTCAATGTGATCCTTCTTTATAGCTGAATAATACTCCATTGTATAGAAATACCACAACTTTTTTATCCATTCCTCAGTTGATGGACACTTGGGTTGTTTCCAAGATCTGGCGATTACAAATTGTGCTGCTATAAACATAGGTGCACATATATCACTGTGGTATGATGCTTTCAGTTCTTCTGGGAATATGCCTAGAAGTGGAATAGCTGGAATAAATGGGATTTCCAGTCCCAACTTTTTGAGAAATCTCCAGACAGATCTCCACAAAGGCTGTACCAGTCTACACTCCCACCAGCAGTGCAGGAGAGTTCCTTTTTCCCCACAGCCTCTCCAGCATTTGTTGTCGGTTTTCTTGATCCTGGCCATTCTTTCAGGAGTGAGATGGTATCTCAGTGTGGTTTTAATTTTAGATGATAGAATTTTTCTGAACAGCAGAGTTTTGACTAAGGACACAATAAAATAATTTTTATTTTTACTTTAATATGATTTTAATTGTACCTCCTGATTGCTCTTTATGAATTTAAGGGACAGTGTGTGTGTGCGTGTGTGTGTTGCTTCTAACATAGCTAATTGACTTGAAATCAGTGTGTTTTCTTAAAGCCTGAGTTTCTTAGTTTTGTCTGTCAAGTTATTACCTGATTCTCATAGGAGAAAAAGAGGAAGAGAAGGTAGCTTTGAATTCTATAATATAGCAAGCCAAATCAAAACGGAAAACCCCACATACTTTGCCATTAGATATTTTTGGTCAAATTGTTTTTTGAAAAAAATTTTGGATCATTTTACCTCATAAAATAGAAAGCATCTTTCTGTTACCTGTGAATCAAATGAAGAGCCTATTAAGGGGAAGACAGTCAATGTGAATTTGCCATAACAGAACTTGACTGTAGTAGTTGCAGGATCTGAAAGACCTTGGAGGGGTCTAAGAGGTGACAGTAATCTAAATAGTTCCTCTTTTGTGTGTCTGCAATCATGTAGATCAAACCCAGGGACTCCTACATGTTAGGCAAGCACTCTTCCCCTCAGCTACACCCCCAGCTCAGTGGTTCCCTCTGTATGAGTTTGTCTCAAATACATCACCCTGTACTTCCACATCAAGTACCACTTCCTGGGAAGAGTCAGACTTCCTTTATATAAGCAGGGTTTCTGAAAACTGCCTACAATATAGCCCACAATGTCTTAGTATTATAGTTACTGTTCTCTGGGTGATCTAGTTTGTCTCCTTTGGTTATAAGGATTTTGAAAATGATGTATTCCTAAACTTTTCTTTCTTGACTTCATTTGTAGTATCTTTAATAAGAATATGAAAAGCTTGACTATATTCTAATAAGGTGGATATCACTGGAAAAACTGGGCAAATGTGGAAAAGTGTGAGTTCAACTGTTCAGTGATAAAAAGTTAGAAAGTATCCTCATTAGAAAAAGGAAGTAAAAGTAGCAGTTACAGTCATGTCAAGTTGGATCCCATCTCAGAGCTTTTGCAGTTTCCTGTTCCCTTTTCCTTGGAATGTTATCCTCCTCCTCATTGCTGCTGTTTTCCTGTCATCTGGCTATCAGCTCAAATATTAACTCAGAGATGTTTTCTTGACCCTTGATCTACTATCCTTCCTCAATCCCACCTCTTCTACAGTCCACCTCTTACCACATTTCTTGGTTTTATTCCTCCTTAGAATATATCATGATCTGAAACCCTTATTTACATGCTCCTTCTCTGGTTTATCTGTCTTCTTAAGTAGACTGTATATTTCAAAGAACAGGGATCTTACTAGTGTTTCTTATCATAATAATTTGGATGCTAAGAGTAATGCCTATATAGACATGAAAGGAAAATGAGATAACACATCTGTACTTTATGAAAATAAAATAAACAAATTTTAAATAGTTTGAGGTAGTAGAGCATTCAGAATTTTATTGTAGAAAAAATATTATTGCAGTATGCTCCCTGTAGATGTTAAAAATATTCATCTAAAACACACGCTTGCTAGAGTTGTGTTTGTCAACATCAGATCTTTGGTAACCAAGATGGGGAATATTTAATAGGGCTTTGTCCCAGATTCCAGAGTGCCAGCATTAAAGAAGACATTTCTGCTATACTATTGTACTTGAATGTTTTGGTTTCAAGTAATTAAAATCTGGTTCAAAACATAAGTTTTTTGGGAGAATAGGCTTAGATTTGGTTGACTTAGCAGTTCAAAATGCCAGCAAGGATTCAGGTTCTCTCCATCTCTCCACCTATATGACTGGATATCATCCTATATAAGCAGGACAATGAGAAGAAGAGAAAATATCCCCAACACCCCCTCGCCAGCAGACTTCCTCCAGGTTCCACAGGTCATATGGTAGGTAACCATTGCAGAAACAGTAGTGACGGAATGAAATTACACAGACTGATTGAGATCATGCCTGAGCTTGAGCAAGAGGAAAATACCTGAACAAAATGGAAGCCTTTATGGGAAAGAAGAAAGTGGAAATGCTGTGTATCTTGTCTACTGTTCCTTGTTTGCAAGCAGTAGATACTGGTGTTGCTAATACTTTTTATTCTAAGTTTTTCAGTGAAGATTAGTTCAAAATTCTATGAATTTTGCAGTTTGGAGATACATGCAGTTAATCAATCTTAAATAAAGTCCAAGATTCTGTTTAAGAGCATGAAGAGGAATTCCCACTTTAGGGCCTAGCTAGTGGCTAGGCCCTAAATTTTTGAGAGAGGAGAGACAGAGAGAGAAAGAGAGACAGAGACAGAGACAGAGACAGAGACAGAGACAGAGAGAGGAAGAGACCTATATTCCTCTTTTAACTGTCTTGGTCCCACCCTCTGACCTTAGAGAAGTGCAAATTGTTCTGAAAGACAAGTTTCAATTCTGCATACTTCTTTATTACATTATCCTATTCTTCTTCCCAAAATTCAAGAAAAATTTGAGGGTAATTTGGAAAGTTGAGTGAAGAAGAGATGGAATTGTCAGAATGGAGGGAGTGGTACAATCATTTGAATTACTGTATGTGTCTCCTATGATCTCTTTAAATCCAATTAGCATAATTTTTATACACTTCTTCTATTGGGGTTTTTTTTTTTAACATCCCATGACAGGGTAAAAATAAGAACAGGATAACGTGATAGACTGAAATATTCAAAAACGTCTCAGCCCAGGCTATTCCCAATTGCCTGTCAAATAAAAGTGGTCATAGAGTGGTGGGGTTTGATGTCTGATGAATATACTTAATACTTTTTTTTTTGGTACCAGGGATCAAACTCATGATGTTAAGTTTGCCAAGCAGGCCCTTAGCCACTGAGCTTAATCCCCGCCCCCAATACTTTTTAATAAACATTTTGCTGTATTTAAAATGAGATCTAATTTTATTTTTCATTTGTTTTACAGTTTATTTTGATATACCTATGTGATCTATTGAACAAACTACCAATTTGAGATTCTTCTTTCTAATCAAGATCTGATCAGTGACTTAGTTTTGTCTGTTCTTCTTTCTATTACCAGTACTTCAGTTCTGGCCCTTCTGACAGTACAGGCAGATCCATTTGTTCTTGAGTTGTTTCCTAATTACTTTGAAAATGCTTTTATGGTGGATAAAGACATGCTTTAAAAATATGTCTAGTGTCTCCAGATAGCCATTACAAGACCAGACAGAAAGGTGAGAAAAATCATTGTTTGTTGGCTTCTTGTTAATATTTTCTCTTATGATTTTGGTTTTAGATTCCAATGTGAAAAGATTTTGCTCTCAAAATATCCTGGCAATCCTTGGTTTCTCCTCTATCACTGCTGTGATAGCTTTGATTGCTGTGGGGCTGACCCAGAACAAACCATTACCTGAAAATTTTAAGGCAAGTCAAATCAAGAGTGTGTCTGTTGTGTGTCTGTATATGTGTATGTGTGCATGTCTGTGTCTGTATGTAAGAAAGGGGCTTGGATGGGGTGAGAAAAGGACTCGGGCAATTATGTAGGGGCAATTAAGATTCTAGAAGCCTAGAAACAAGTCAATATCTGTTCGATTAGGAGAATAAAACGGAAATGGTTGTTCTTTCTAAAGAAAAGATGTCTTGAATTAATTAGTGGTGGGAATAGAATTTATGATTATTCAGTAAATTTATTAAGTCAATACTCTATTAATAAAGATAAATGCTTTATTCACCTTGTCCCAACTTTTCTTAGGCTATTCTGGCATTCAAGATCTAGTACTATCTCCACTTCATATTCATTGTTCATCATGCATTAGCCACAACATTGCACTCTTTTGTACTCTATCATCACCACTGTCATCAAATCAATCTGCATAAAGTGCTTCAAGTCAGCGATTGTTCAGAAGACATGTTTCTTCTCTCCAAAAATATTAAAGCAACAAAATTGGTAAAAATTCAGAGAACATTCAGATAGCAAGTATAGTTATTTGAAATGAATTTTAGGATGGGGAGATGTCTTGTTAAATTTCAAGACGTAGTTAATACAATTAAAATCATTAAGGTCATTAACTTTATATGACATATTTCTGCTTTCTTTCCAGTTCATCCATGTAAACTTGTAATACGATTTTTATTTTTTAAAACATACAGTAAATTTGTAGTTAATTTGTAAATATTCCACTGAAATGAGAGTAGACAAATCTACTTGTGCACAGAGGATATGAATATGCCATTGAGCACATCTGTACCTGTGCATCGTGACATACCTAGAAGTTAACTTGACCATGGAGGTCTTAGAATGCATATGAAGAAGTATATTCTCTTTCATTTGAAGATGATGAGCTGTAAGCCTGACATACACGCCAGCCCTATGAAATTTTTACCGTGCATCAAATTCACTTGTTGTACAGCAAAGGCATGGGTATTACATTAGCATCATTTTGTTATACAAGTTCAACCCAGTGGACTTGTGTACAGCAGTTGCTTTGTCAGGATAGAAGGCTAATGCAGTCTCATCAGTGGTCTCTTGCCTTTTAATGTTGAGTGATGTTGGTTCTTTTGGCAAAATTTCACTCACAGTTGAATCTTAATGACATCTTGGTTCTGCTATTTATTTATTAGCTCCAAAAGTACATGATTGCATTCTTGATTTGATCTTTTTGCATATTCAGCATTGCATCACTGGAGAGCAGGACTGCCTTGGGGGCAAAATTCAGGGCAGACTGAAGCTCTTGTTCCCAAGCAATACTTGTGGTCATGGATGACTTCCTTCATTTATTGTGGTCTTCAAGTCTGTCATGCTTCTATGTTGTTATGTTAACCTAGAAAAATGGAACAAGGTCTTTGTCATTAGTTAAATAAAAGGCATGAGTATTTGAAAAGCAGTTATTGGCCCTGTCAAACATAATTTCATATATAAAAAGTAGTCTTTTTTAGATTATACATTATTTTGTAATGTTTCTGGCATGTACTGGAGGCAGATATTGAACAATATAGGTATAGGACATTTCCATCACTGCAGAATGTGATATGGAAGGTGTTGTTAATCAATGAAATATTGCTGCTTTGTAATATACTATGATAATATCTCTGAAATCATTCAGAAGTAAGTTGAATAAACAAGGTACATGATAAAAGATAACACAGATATTTTTACTTGGGATATTTGGTTTAAGCTAATGGTATGATCTTGTTTTATTTCTTCCTGATCCAGTTTTACTGGGACAAGACTGTGTCACATTTGGCATAACACACCAAGAGCTCTTTATTAGAATAAAGAAGTGTTTACTTGGCTAGCCACTACTAGACTAGAAGCACATCAAAGATAAGAACTAGATTTCCTAGTCTTTGTGTGCATTTTATACATTCATTCTCTTAAAAATAGTCATTAAACATTTACTCCATAGCAGTGGGCCAGAAGAGGGAAGTCACTCCTGAAAGTTCATTTTATTGTGTCATTAATCCATTCATGAAAGCAGATCCTCCATATCCTAAACACTATTAGCTTCCACCTTCCAACACTTGCACTGTAGTTAAGTTTCTAACTATGAGTATTAGAGGGGAAAACATTTGAACCATGGCACTTGGTTTATGAGGTACTTGGTGGGGAGGTTTGCAGAACAACCCTAAAGGCACTACTTTATATTTATAGATTATAGATATCAGCTCCCTGTCAAATTTGAAGTAATTTTGGAACCATATGGTTCCAAAGCTTAAATTCACTCATTTGATTCAACAATTATTTGTTTAATTCCATCTATCCCAAAATATAGTAGGCTATTCCATGGAGGATGCTAGAAATGTCATGGTAAGTAAAGTAGACTGCCCTTATGTTGCTTATCATCTAAAGACAGACATTACACAAACAGCCACAAACACAGCATATGTGATTAAATCATGTGCTCCACACTATCTTTAGAGGAAAAACATAGGCATTCTGATTAGGAGAATCTTACCAGTGCTGATAAGAGAAGACTGGGATATCAGCTGATGGATTTTCTGGGCAAAGACTATAAAGAAGAAACCATGTGGCCTGTGAGCAACAGCCAGTGGGCCAGTGTGACAGAAAATGTTTTCTGGTGAGGAGCATCCAGCAAGCAAGGAAGCAGGCCATGTGACACCCCAGTATTCTCTGTATTCCTCCATCTAAAGAGATCACCTAAAGTCTCAGATTATGAAATTTGTGTAGTAAAATTTTCTCATCCTAAACCGGGGCCTTCCCTGCCTTCATGTGGCCTCTGGTCTCAGTGAGACCAGGGTCCACTGTTGCCTAGATTACCAGGTCTTCATGAGAGTCAGCTACATTGGTGGCCCCATCAGCCAAAAAGATCATTTCTGTTCTTCTCTTTGCATCACCACTTTTGTTCCTATTGCATAGCTCATTAAGATCAGTTATAATCACTAACATCATGTACATGACCAAAAATTAGGTTAGGACAAAACTGTATGCACAATAAGAATATAACCACATTTTAAAATGCACATTATAACCACATTTTAAAAGACTTGAAAGGGAGTGAATAAAATAGCAGTTTATTATTTTATTAATAATAAAAATATTTATGTGACATCTTACATGTCTTTTCTTCCTTTGTTTTCTTCTTTTTAGTACTTTTAAAATAGAAAATAATACTGAAATAATAAGGGAATATCATATTTTTTCCTCATCACTTAAACTTTAATTTTTTCCTTCAATATAAAGACATCCTTTTAAAGGCTTTTAAACTGATTTATATGTGAAGGACAAAAGCATTGGGTTTCTCTGCTGCTAGAGTTTAATTCACTAGATAATGGGCTGGTGAGCTCAGGAGAAGAAGAGAACAAGAATATTCTCCAAAATTCTAGAAAGATTTACTGACTGAGATCCTTCAAGGCTTTGGGCAGTTTGGAATACATGTTGGAAAGAATGTGGGAAGAGAGCAAAAGCTATTACCTGAATCTAGGTGGACACTGTAACTGAAGGGCAAACTCCTTGAATGCTAAAATGGAGGACTTTCAGATAATTAAGATTTAGCTACCTCTCAAGGAGTAATACCAATTTTTTTCTGCAAAACATTTTAGAGTATTGGTGATGTAGTTCAATGATAAAATCCTTGCCCAACATGTGTGAAACCCTTGGTTCAATTCCACTACAGAAAACAAAACCAAACAACAAAATAATCACCAGCTCCCACTTGTTGGCACAGTTCAGCAAGTTAGCTTTCCAGAGTGCCATATTACACAAGGCGGAATGTCTCAGTTTTCTGTCAAAATGCGTCCTACCCACTTTACAAATATCTGCAAACCAAATGCAGTAAAAGCTTTTATTTGTTAAGCACCTCACAGTATAATGCCTTGAATAAGCAAGAGAACAGAAGCAAGTCTGGCCCTTTGGATCTACTGGAAGATTGACTTTCATGTCAATGAAGTTAGACAGAACAGAATAGAATGTCCTGATTCCAGATAAAGGGAACTAGGTGTTGCTGCCTCTCTAGTTTTTAATCACATACTTGCTGTAAGAACATTTTCTAGCAAGAAGATTTCAAGAGCCCTGATAGGGAGCAACACAAATTTCTACTGTGTCACCCTAGAGTCTCTTTTTCCACTCTGAGAGATTTCCCACTGGGCCAAAGGCCTCAGACCTCAGTCAGCACCCTTCCCTACCTGCAGTGGTCAGCACTTAAATCTTTTCTTGGTTTCCTTTCACTGCAGGTCTAGCTGCACAAGAATCTTCCCAGCTGACTTTCTTGCTGTGTCTAAGGTTCTTTTCTTCCCAAGGCCATACCAGTAATTACTAGGGGGACTCCCCAGTGTCGTCATATGACAGTAAACTCTAGAGGTTATAGAAGTTCAATGATCATCACCAGATCTGTGCAGTGATACTTCCTGATCTCGCATGAAATGAAAGAGTTTAATTCAAGGGACTCTAACTTTAGCTTTTAGTGGCCCAGGCAGGTCTCTTCATTTCTATTTATCTTTTCATACTGGAAGCTCTCAGAAGATAACACAAGGAGATAATCCCTACAAATATGCTCAAATGTGCAACAAAGTACAATGTAGCAAGTGTTGGCTCACATTTCAGAAGTGACTTCTCTGTTTCTTTTTCTTTGATTCCCCAATTACTTTTTTCATTATTTCTCTGTTGTATACAAATGATAAAAAGTATGTGTGTATATTATCCTTACAAGTCCATAGAAGATGTCATTAATCAATCATTGAATTTTTCCCTGATTAAATTTAGGGATATAATTAAAAGTGAGTACCAGTTGATCAAAATGGCCATTTGCAATCTACTCTTAGATAGCTAACCAAAGAAAAATGTGAGCTTACTGCCACAGAGTAAAATGTACAAAAAAAAAAAAAACATACAAGAATGTTTCTGATAGTTGAGGTTCCAATTTACAAACAAGTCAAATGTTCATCAACAATAGAATGGGTGGAAACATAATACATGAACATAATGAAATATTCTATAGTAGTTAGAAAAGGATGAACTACTGATATGCACTTTGAATGCATCTCACAGACATAAAAATGTTAAACATAGAGTAGGTAAATTATATGAGTCACATTCACTGCAGTTCAAAAACAGGCAAGCTACATATATTGGTACACATCTATAACACAGTACAACACTCTCGGAAGCTGAGACAGGAGGATAGCAAGTTAAAGTTCAACCCAGACAATTTAGCAGTTTAGCAAGAGCCTGTCTCAAAATTTAAAAAGAGCACTCATTTTAATGCACAGAATCACCCACAGGCACACAAAAAAAACAAAACAAACAAGCAAAACTCAGTCATGGTCATCGAAATGAAAACAGTGGTTACCCTTGGGGTGAAATGATTGAGAAGGGCAATTTTGCTGGAGGCTAAAATTATTTAGTATTGTGCTATTGTAGTTGTTACATGGAAAAATATACAAAAACTCATTGAGGTGCACATTTAAGATTGGTACTCTTAGTACTCTTCACTGTACTAAATATTGAGTAAATTATGTAAAATTTGATGTTTCTCATTTATGTAGAAATGATAAAAGTAGTATATACCTTACAGTGTTGTTCTGAGAAATTAGATAATTCAGTGTTTCTGCAATACCTGTAAGATGTACTTAATGCACTCACAAAATAGGACAGCTTGACTTTGTTCTCTCCTGATCATCTAGTTCTTTTTATGTTGTCTCTTCCCTTGCCTTATACTTTCTTTCTTCCTTTAATATCCCCCAGTCTTAAAAAAAACTGAAACATGAAATGATATATTTTAAGATGTATTAAATATAACTTTATACTTACATTCATAATTACAAGCAAACACTATATTGTCTATATCCTTTTTAAAAACGAAATTCCACAATCAATGAACTAAAATTAAATAAAGATATTTATTTTGACTGTGTACCCCTCAGTGGATTAACTCAGTGGATTCCCAAGTTTTCTGCACATTAGAATCACATGGGATCTCATAAAAATTCCAAAGATCAGGCCACATACCAGACGAATTAAATCACAGTGTCTCAGGGTCTGACACAAGTCTGACAGGTTTTGAAGTTCTCCAGGGGATTCCAATGTGTAGATAAGTTTGAAAGCTATTGAATGAACTGTTTTCTATACCTCCATAGTGTCTCAGCTTCTTCAGCATGTGTGTCTCAATTCTGACTGCACGTTAGATTCACCTATGAAGCTGCTAAATAGTACTCTTGCTCACGCCCCACTCTGGGCAAGCTGTTAAATGTTTCTAATGTTACCACCAGTACTGAGACCATCTCAGTGGGTGTGCTTGTAAGTCCTGGTCAGGATAACCCCAGCCTGCCTTCGTCCCACCCTGCCCAACATTCCTCTCAAATTAGAATACTGTACTTTCCCCTTATGGTTTGGAAACTGCCATTGTTGTCCCTTTCCCACTGCAAGCTGAATATGGAGAAAAATGATGTGATACTGATACTTTTTAAAATTTGTTTTGCCTTCAGTATGGAATTGTGCTGGATGCAGGCTCTTCTCACACAAGTTTGTATATCTACAAGTGGGATGCTGAAAAGAAGAACAACACAGGGGTGGTGTATCAAGTAGAAGAATGTAAAGTAAAAGGTGAGATGAAGCCAGTGGAAAGGGGTACAGTGGGAAGTGAGACTATGAGAAGTGCATGGCAAGAACAAGAAAAGACAAAAGAAGCCCTCATTGTGGAAATCAAACGAAGACACAGTGGAGATGCTGTTGTTATTTTATCATTATAAAAATAACATGAGTATCATTATTTGCATTTTTTAAAATGAGAGTACCAACCTTGGAAAAGGTTAATACTACTTTTTAAGGTCACTTGAGTTAGTGAGTTATGGAACTGGGATGAAAACTGAGGCCTGCTGAATTTAAAACCCACAGCTTAGCCAGTAGTTCTGATTTGTAACTGCATCAGAATCACCTGGAAGGGTTTTTAAGTGGATGTGGGGCCCCACACCTAGGTGCTTGAGTCAGATCTAGGAGGAGCCCTAAGGCTCTAGATTCCCTAGCAATCCTGGAATTGCTGCTTTCTCAATTTTGTCCTCTAATTTATAGTTTAGAACAAATTTTCCAAAGCTTTATGCCTCTGTGTAGCAGGAAAGACCAGAGATTGCTAGGTTAGAAAAAAGGGCTTAATGCATCATTTAAATCTAGTTTTACAGAGAAGGAAGCAGTGCGTGATGTGTAGCAACAGAACCAGGACGAGAATCTAGGTCTCCAGGCTTCCTGCTACCCCACAGAGCCGCCCACTGTAACGCCTTTTTTCTCCTTCCTAGCCTGTTTTAAGGTCACAGTCTAAGGAAGTTGTTGACCAGTTTGGCTGTCTCCACTCCCTCCACCTCAGCATATACTAGATATTTCTGCATTGTACCACAATCTGTTTGACTTTTATCTTTCTTGGCCTTTTCAGCCAGGAACCCACTGTTTATTTTCTGTTAGACAGATAACCTAATTCTAGAACATAATGAAGTTTTAATGCAATGACCTGTAGTTTTCACTAATTTTTATCAAGACAGTAGTAGACAGAGACAGACATTTTCAACACAGAAAATCATTTCACTCAATATTCTGGTACCCTGAGACTTTGGCCCATCAATACTGAGATGATACTTCTTATATATTTTAAGATCCCAATTCCTCATTTTATTTAATTCACTCCCTTCTATTTTTTTTAAAGGTTTGTTTTTTAATCTAGCAGAGGTCTTTCTTCCAAAACTCATTCCATGAGTGCATGAGTGTTTGTTCTAACAAATACATTATTTCTCCCCATTTAAGGTCAGATTATCTGAACCAAAATAGCTAATTTAGACATGATTCTTCTCATTATACTTACCTAAACAGTCTTTTAAAGTCCTGTGAATAATCTATTGAACTTATTTGTATAATTATCTTCAAAGAATCCTCTTTATGGTGCATTATATAGTAATTTATTTTAACAGGAGATGAAAACTTTGAGTGTTAACTTCTAAAAGTTTAAGGAATTTTGGCTCTAATCCTCTCCATAGAAACAGTGACTTATTTCTAAAATGGTAAAAACAGTTTACTACAGCAGCAGGATACTGGAGTGGAAAAGTCACTGAAGAGACTTAGATTCTATTCCTGTTTCACCTAACAAAGAAACTCTACCTCAGAAATTTTAGGGTACTGGCTGTGATCACATAGCTAGTTCAAAGCAGCTTCTATGTTTTGGAGAGTCAGTAGATCTGGTGATTATTTTAATTTTAGTTCTAAATATCATGTTTATTTAGATCTTCTAGAAACTAATGTCATTAGTAAAAGAATCATCCAAGATAGCTAAGAGTGTGCTTTTCTATGATTGCCTATCAGAATCTGAGGAAAGATGTTACATAATTGAATATGACATTGCACAATCCAGTGAAGTTACTGAATAGACACAACCCAAGATTCAAAACTTAAATTGTACCAAGGCTAAGTTCAAAGAGTGACCCTCTAAGTATAGCAATGTAATATATAGCACATCAGGAAATTGTTTTTTTGTATTTTCTCAACCTACACTAGATTTTGCTGTAATATTGTCAAGCTATGCCTATACATTTTTTGTCATCTTTTATATCTTTTCCTAGGTCCTGGAATCGCAGCATATAGTAATAACATAGATGATCTAGAAACATACCTGCTTGAATGCATGGAAAGGTCCAAGAACGTGATTCCAAAGTCCTTGCACTCAGAGACCCCTGTTTACCTGGGAGCTACGGCAGGCATGCGGTTACTCAGGTATAGCAGCATATAGAGACCAAAAGTGGCTAGGTATTAGAAGCAGTGCAAGAGCCTCTGAAATTGTGGATAAAGCCATACCTCTCTTACATTTCAAGTCCTATTTCTCTCAAAGTCTACATCTAAGAAAGAAAATTTTAATAAGTGAGTAAAACTCCCAAACTCATAGTATCCACAACACAGTAGTAAGATTTTGAGTATATAAAAAGGTTTTGCCTCTCTCCGCATGAGGAATTCAAGGGGAGGGGAAGAGGGTTGAATCTGTACTTAACATTTGGGATATAGATGTAGCCAATCAGTATCAGAGAGGAGAATGAAGACTAGAGGAGACCCATAGATATCCCAAGACAACTACTCACAGTAAATTTTTAATTGCTTACCACTTGGTACCTGTATGCATGATTTGTTTATTTGCTCATTCATTAATTCATGGGCCACGAGTACCTACTTTTCCTAGAATATGGAAGTAGGTGACTCAGCCCTCAAGGAAACCAGGTTTTCCATACAGATTGATCAAGTTTTTGATAGAGGAGCGCTCAGAGCTGCTACTGAGGGCATGTGATGCTACCCAGAATGAGACACTGTGGTCAGAAAGCAGTATCAGAAGCGGGGAGGAGTTGGAGAGCAAGGAAAAAGCATGATAGGTAAAGCAGACAGCATACATTTGCATCCAGTGACAAACTTTTTTGGCACTGATCTGTGTCAGATATTTTTTTTTTACACTTTTTTTTTCTTTTTTCTTTTTATCGGTACCAAGGATTGAACTCATGACCACCTGCTTGCAAGGCAGGTGCTTATGCCGCTGAGCTAAATCCCCAGCCCATCAGGTATTGTTTTAAGGGCAGGGTTACTGAATAGGACAACGCTCCTGACTTCACGGCGCTTTTGTTCCAACAGATGGGCAAAGGCAAGGAAATGAGGAAGTGGGGATATAGTCAGAAGACTGAATAGGTTTGCATAACTGAATGTAATGTCCAATACTGTAACCTTATTACACAATCTTAACATTATATAACTTATATTTTTATTTTTTTGATACAAGGTCTCCTTAAGTAATCCAAGCTGGCCTCAAATTTATGGTAATCCTCCTGCCTCAGCCTCCTAAGTACTGGGATTACAGGCATGATTCGCCATGGCCAGTTTATCTTTATGTAATTTAATAATAGTGATAGATCATACTTTTGAGCCCTTGCTATGTTCTTGGTACTATGCTGAGCGCTTAACACAGTTTATTTAACTTAATTGTAGCTCTTTGAAGTGAGAGATACTATTATAAACAAGATATTGAAGTGGGGTCACAAATGTTAATTAACTCTCCAAGGGTAACATGCTGGGTAGTTATAGATTGTGAGTGGAATTCTGAGAAGGCAGGGTCCAGACCACACAGTGCCTCTCAGGCCATGCTAGGAAGTTGGGAGTTTATCTGGAGATAATGGGAAGTCATTTTAGAATATTACACAATTGGTACCACTAGTAGAGAAGGTGGACTAGAGGGGAAGAAAGCTAGAGATGAAAAGAAGGCAGATAACGGATACAACAGCAAGTGTGTTTAGGGGTGTTAAGTAGCTGACTATATCAATGTTTTTGGATCATTGAACACAGCTGTTTGCAGTCTCCCTGTTTGAATGTCCACCTTGTATTCTTTGATACTGTGATTTGAGCAACTATTTTCAAGATGATAATATGTAATCTATTAACAGGTGATTTCTTACTGTTTTTTTTTTTTGTAGTTCTGTATTATGTGTACCCTTACACCGCTTTGTTTTGTTTTGTGTTTTTCTCTTTTTCCTCTTAAATAAAATTAAAAAAAGAAAGAAAGAAAAGAAGGCAGATGATAGCTATGGACACTGTTCTGATGAGAGTTAGAGTTACAGTTAAATTGTAGCACTCCCCCCCCACCACCACCACCACCAGAGGCTGTCAGTATTGCCCAACCTGGATTTTGAAAGTGATTGTATCTCATCTTCACTAGGAAAACCTAGAATAACTCCTTTGTTAGGTATCAAGGTCTCCAAGAACAGATAATATGAGCAAGATTTTTTTTTCTCAGTCTGGTAGCAAGGGAGATTGGGTATCTATCTGTTCCTGGTCATTTGCCTTCTGCTTTCTACTACATCTCTAATTTAAAAATCTTAAGCAGAGTCTGTGTAACCAACTAGAAGCTATCATTGGTGACTAATATATATAGAAAACATCAGTTCTAGTGTGTGTTGATGAGATAATACCTACCTAAAATGACTAAAATATAGTCATTTTAAGAGCCTTTGATATTTTTTGAACCAGAAAACAACAGAGAAAAATGATATTTTAGGAAAGTCTACCTTCTTAAGTATTGGAAGAATTTGAATTTAAGGATAGAGAACTAAAGGTTATCTCTGTCTCCTCAGAAACACTGACTTCCTCTGATAGCCACATGTTAGCATCTCCACATCTCCATTTATTTCACTGTGTTATAGTTCACGTCTTAGGATCCTTGCATGAAAGGACTGGCTAAAATGAGAAGATATGATTATTAAGACAAAAGTGCTAACTTCACCTCTTCTTTATGTAGAATGGAAAGTGAACAATTGGCACACAAAGTCTTGAATGAAGTTTCGAGTATCCTTAGCGACTACCCCTTTGACTTCCAGGCTGCCAGGATCCTCACTGGCCAAGAAGAAGGTGCCTATGGCTGGATTACTATCAACTATCTTCTGGGGAAATTCATTCAGGTGAATACTTCATAGCAGTCATGAAGGTGGTTTCCTGGGGGCCAATGCTATGCGATTTCAGACCGTATTTGGGATACTAGCCAGAATCAGTGATGGATGGATGGATGAATGAATGAATGACTTCTACATTAGTAAAGATCACCTAAGAAAATAATACCTCTTCTACTACTGAAGAATATGCAACCCATGTCTTCATGTTAGGAAGACAGAACAAAATTTTAAACTGATCATTAAAATAAGAATAGCAAGTATTTGCCAAGTACTGTGTGTCATGTGCTATGCCCTTTTTATGTGCTGTGTAATTTCATTCTTAGATGTGATAGGAGGTGTTATTATTATCCCTCTTTTAAAAGAGCCCTATTGATGCCTAAGAATTATGGTAATTATTCTGCCCAAGGCAAACAGCTAATGACTGATTAAGCAGGGTTCCTTTGTGATTCTGCCTGTTCTGGAGCTCGTCTGGAAGTCCTAGTAATACTCCTACGTTGCTTCTGTCTGGGGTTATCCCTTCTCTTCTTGCTGTTGCCTTATTATAAGCTCAGAAACCTCCTATGAGCTTTGCCTAACCTTTATACTCCTGTTTCTCTAGCCCAGAAAGCCCTTGTTGTTTAAAAAATATAGTGTGAAAAGCAGGATGTACAGAGACTTTTAGCACTTAGTGATTATATTTTTTTCAGAAATCGAAATGGTTTGGCCTAATCTCACGTGAAAGCAATAGTGAGAAAACCTTTGGAGCTCTGGACCTTGGGGGAGCTTCGACACAAATCACTTTCGTGCCTCTAGGCCACACTACTGAGTCCCCAGACAACTTTCTGCAATTTCGCCTTTATGGTCAGGACTACATTGTGTACACACACAGCTTCTTGTGCTATGGGAAGGATGAAGCACTCCGACAGAAATTGGCCAAGGACATTCAGGCAAGTATAAATGGATTCAGACCTACACTATTCACATCTGGTCCTCCAGCCCCCACATCCTGTTATTTTCTTAATTTAGTAATTGGTCTGAAGTTGGTTTTGCACTTAGCAAACCTTTTCAGAAGGATACAAAAGTACATCTGGTCGACCCCTATGAATATTTCCATCTAGACATCCCCTCCTGTGTTTGTTTACTGCACTATTTCCAAGGACACAACTCAGCTCTTTTCTTAGGAATTAATTTCTCACCCCTGTGGGTAATGAAAGTTACATACTATTGTTCAAGAGGAATCATTTTTTTTAGACTGCTTTTCAATCTGCCTTTTCTACCAACTATAGAAAACAAGGTTGTTAGCAATGACCTGGAGAAGGAACAGGAAGAAATAGAGAAAACACATTTATCAATAAGCCATTCAAATCTTGTTCCCAGATGATTTCTGCATTTTGAAAAAGACCAAACAAATTAAACACTCAGCATTATGAGAGTACCAGGCACACCCTGACAAATAAACACCGAAGGAGGTTGTCTTATCCAGCTGTTTTCTGTCCACTAAAAGAACAACCAGTTCTCTGCTCCCCTCCAAGGCACTCTCTCTGCCTCTCTCTCTCTCTCTCCCTCTGGCTCTCAAAACCACTATCAGTAAGATAAACACTGAGAAAGAAAGAAAGAGAGAGCACATGCTTCTTGTTCACAACAGGTCCCTTTCTACTTTTGAGTGATAAAGATCAAAAATCATTTTGATATTACTGCCTTAACAGACCTAAGATACCTTCCAGATCTTGGGCTTTCTGATTCCCTCCCTAATGAGAAGGAAAAAAAAGCAGTGTTCAGACTTCTAGACTACTACCCTCTGGTTCAGTTTTGAGAGCCTTGAGAGTTTTCTCTGTGAATCTACTCCTGACCTATGCCATTAGGAGTAAGCACTCAGGCACATTGTCATCTAGTGGCATTTCTAGGCCCAACTTTTGCTCTACCAGCATTCTATAAATATACCAGTACATTTATATCTGTACTGCTTTGGTACCTGTTATATAAATCTATTTTCTGACTTATTTGCAAGGATGGAAAAGACAGAAAAACATATTGATGTCACTACTGAGTCCTAGAATATTACACAAACTTTACACAGCAATGAACTGCATATTTTCTGCCCTAAATATTCATATATGAGTCAAATTTTTTTTCCCACTCAGGTTTCAAGTAATGGAATCCTCCAGGATCCATGCTTTCACCTTGGTTATGAGAAGTTTGTGAATGTAACTGAGCTTTACAAGTCTCCCTGCACCAAGAGATTTGAAAAGACTCTGCCATTTGATCAGTTTCAAATCAATGGTACTGGAAACTATCAACAATGTGCACAAAGCATCCTCGAGCTCTTCAATTCCAGTTACTGCCCTTACTCCCAGTGCGCCTTCAATGAGGTTTTCATGCCACCACCTCAAGGGGACTTTGGGGTAAGTTTGTGAAATGATGAGGTACATAGTTAAGATAATTTTAGTTTCAAGTTATACAGTATATCTATAGCAGATTTAAATAATAAGGCTCATTTTTCTCCCACAAAATATCTTGAGGTAATTCTGGATTAGCTCTTTGGCTCAACAATATTAGGATTTGGAATCAGTTTCTGCATTATCTTCTTGACCTTCCTGTAATATTAAGAGAGTAGCTACTGCTCTAAACATCATATTTCACATGCAAGGCCAAAACAGGAATGGAGTTTAGAGGATTCTTTTGCACACATCTATCTCCCATTATGCAGAAGTGCCAATAGGTACCTCAGGGTTCCTATGGGAACCTTGACTGACCAAGGACACTTGACTAAGTAACACTTAGTTGTCAGCTGGCTCCAAACCTAAATTCAGAACAAACTAGAACCTCACTTGAATGCCATGTGATTGAACAGGCATTACTTTTCTACTTTTTGGTACTGGGGGCCAATAACCCTTCTTTCTTTGAGTTGAATTTTTAGAAGAGGTAGGAGGGGCCCACAAGTGAGAAGCATATAGTTAGGGCTGCTTGAAACAACCAAGGGAAAATGAATATATACTATGTGTTTGCTTTTTAACCTCTTTGAAATCTTTGCATTTGGGAAACATGAATCAATTCCTGCCTTCAAACTGGAGCAAAGCTTTCTTCCTCAGGGGATAGAACATTCTTTGAATGTTGTAGACAGGGGTTGCAAAGAGAACAATTACATACAGGGCACAGAATTTATAATATTATTTTATGATGGTCATCCAGAGTTAAACAAAGGAAAGTGCAGGAAATTTGTCCACACTAAACACCAAAGACCTAGAAAATCCAGCCATGGGCCTGGATCCTACAGCAATGTCCTGTATGAATCCAGCTGAAGACCTAGAGCCCGTGACAATGCCTCCCACAAGTCTAGCTGGTGGTTTAGAGCCCACAACAATAACTCATGCACTTTATTTGTTTTATGGATCTGCATTAGGAAGGCCCAAAAGTCAGCGGGGGAAGCTAGAAAGTTTATGCCAGTGGGGTGAAGGATCTGTGCTAGTAGGTTGAAGATTCTACACTGAAGCCAAGAAGTCACACTCAAAATAAGGTTCAGGGCTGCCCTGAAAAGCACCACAGCCATCCTCAGTGACAGTGAAGTCCTGAGCTCCTCCAATGCTGAGAACAGTTGGGTACATGTCAGGAAGCCAGCGTGACAAGCTTCTCCTGGAAACTAAACAGCAGAGTCAAACAGCAGATGCTCAGTATAAGCAGAGCTCCCCCAAATTGAACCACAGCTACTCAGTCACAAGGTCCCAATAATAATGGCCGAATTCATATAGGGAAAGCTAGCTGTAACAAGCTCCTCCAGGAGAACCAATGGCTCCAAACAACGATCATTAGGACCACAATATATCTTGACATAAAAGGAGATGAGGACAGAAATAGTACAGAAATAGTCCTTACTATTTCTGTCCTCATCTCCTTTTATGTCAGCAGCTTTCCTCAGGTGGGCCATCTACACTCAGCACCATGCTGATTTAATCCAGCTGGTGTTGTTTACCACCAACTTTTAATCCATAACAAATGTGATTCATCCAATCAAAATAGGACATGTATGAGTTGGAAAAACAGTGAGGGGCCTTGAGCTCCCTTTGAGACATTTTCTGTTTGGTTAAGATTGTTCTCACCAACTTCCAAATCTTAGTTTGGTGGCTGCTTTAACTCATTTCCCCAGAATAGCATCTTTCTTCTCTGGATACACCCTCAAGGTCAGCACTAACGGGTACCTATTCCTGCTTTTGCAGTTTCTGCTTCAAGACTTTTTTTTGCTGCTTCTATAATTTCTCCTAAATCCTAAATTTGGGTGTGAAGTGATCTGGTTTATTACCTATGATATGTAATCAAAAACAATGCTGCCTGGCAAGCGCGAGGTTGTGAGTTCCATCACCAGTACAAAAAAAATTATAAAATCTATGGTACACGTTTAAATTTTTAAACAAATTCTTACAATAAAAGATGTATTGTTATTAATCATTCTCAAAATGCTCCCCTTTGCTTTGAACTCACTTATCCCATCTTTGTTGCCACTATCTGAAACAATTATGGAAATTTTCTTTCATGAATGTCTTTAGTTGTACTGGCTACCATGATGTCCTCTAATGGTTCCAAAAATTTACGTTTAATGGTCACTTTAACTTTGGGAAGAGCCAGAAGTCACATGTTGCTAGATCTGGTGAATTTGGTAGATTTGAAGACACACTGTAATATTTTGTTTGTTTTGAGGCAGAGTCTTGCTATGTATTCAGACTGGCTTTGAACTCACTATGTGACCCAAACTGGTCTTGAATTTACAGTGATTGTCCTACCTCAGCTGCCCAAGTGCTGGGATTATAAGCATGTGCCACTACACCTAGCTGTAATGTTTTTATTTGAGAGAAATTGCCATAAATGTTTATTCAGTGAAAGGTGATCACAAAATATAGTGAATGTTTAAATTTAAAAATACATCATAGTCAAAGACATAGCCATTAATTCCCCTTAAAATACTTCCCCTTGCTTTGAATGCACATATCCCATCATTCCTAGTAGGGTGTCTTTTACTGTAATAAGATTTAAATTGTTTTAGACATTTACCTTACTTTTGATCAGCCTTTTATAATGTGGGAACTGTAGTAATATTTCACTGACAGTTTTGAACAATACAGGCCAGACAATCAGAGACCTACTTGATAAATGTCTAACAGCAAGTTCTCAGGAGATGGGGAACTGATCTGTAGCATTTGCCAATTTCAGTGCTGTTACTATTCCCGTCAGAGCTTAGTCCAAGCTACCAACATCATAGCAACTAGAAAACAAAGAGTACTGAAATTTAACAGTGAGCTCTTGTGGGTGTCTAAGAGCCAGTGCCCACACACCGTGGCAAAGAGCAAAAAGCTAACATACCCTAGCATCAGACAAGCTCTTTTTTTTTTTTTTTTAATTTTATTTAAGGAGAAAAGAAAAAAAAAAGCAGGGAAAGGGTACAAGTTATACAGATTTACAGAAAAAAATGAACAGTAGGAAATCACTAGTTAATGGATTACATATTGTCATCTTAGAAATAATTGTTCAAGTCACAAAATTAAAGCTTGTAAAGTGGACATTCCATCAACGATACTGCAAACAGTTCTGTTCATTGATCCAATAAAACTCTGTGATATCATTTTCTATCTTATGCACTTAAATATACATGCAGACAAGCTCTTAAAAAGTGTGTTTCTTTCTCCTGTCAGTCTTAATTCTACATGGCCACTCCTGTAGGAAGTTCTCATTCCAAACTACTGGGACTTGAGGCATAACTATTTGCAACAGCAGCAGCAAAAATCCTTTGCATTCCGGTTATTTCCAAAGCCAGTGTGGTGTCAGACCACAGAGATTTGGGGAGGGAATGTTTGGTATAATTGCATTCATCCCTGATAATTTAATTCTAAATCTATAAATATAATGCTTAAAAACTCTCAAGGCTCTAGCCAGTCTAGCCGCATTGTGGCCTTGGTTACATGATTGAATCCAATGTTATAAGCAAAATAGAAATACCAACAAGGAAGACAGAACATCTGTTAGGAATTACTTATAAAATAATTTAGGAATTATGTCCTTTAAGATCACACCATGCCATTTACATAAACAAGAAAATAGAAACAAATTCAATACAGAACTGGAACTAAAGAATGTTGAAAATATATTTTTTTACACATATGGACAGAGGTTGGGACACTGATTCTACAATAGCAATTGAAAACCGTAACTTTACAAAAAAAATTTTAAGACCTTTATTAACAAGCCCTTGAGATTACTTTCTAAAAAATCAAACTATAAATTCCAAAGGAGCTGGTCAGTAGATATCTAAAGGCAAACTGAAGAATTCCTAGCACTGAGCCAATATTTCCCTTAAGAATTGGCTTTGAACCCATTCTGGCAAAAGAACATCTGCTGGTTTGACTCCCCCAAAGCCCGATACTAAGAGTAGAATCAGGATGATTTTTTTTCTTTTTAAGAGTCATTGTAGCTACAGGAAGAAACTTGGTGATATGACCTTGAACCATCTGATTTTGAGCAGTTTTTTTTCCTGGTCTATTAAAAGAATTTTTTTGTTATTCAATGTAATTCTTGAGATTAAAATGAAAGCATTCTAAGTAAAATTAAGATTATTTTTTCATTATACAAATATATATAAATCAAAGAAATAAAAACTCTAAATACTGACATTACATCCCATCAACAATTTAAATTTTCTCAGTTGAATTCCAATCCATGTTTGTATAAGCAATGATCCATTGTTTTTTTTCTAGCATTCTTCCATTTTTAAATTAAATATAAGAGAATAATAAAACCAAAAATGAATAGAAGAAAATGATAAAGATCAGAAAACACAATCCCTTATTAAATTGTCAACATCATTTTTCATATAGATTAATATTTTTATTCTTACATTTCTGTAAGTAAAAGTAAAAAAGACTCAGAATAGTCTAAACAAGTTCGATAAAAGAACAAAATTAGAACTCCAACCCTTCCCAGTCTTATGACATCACAAAGTTACACCAATCATGACAAAATAGCATTGATATCAAGTTAGACAAACCACCAAATTACCAATATAAATGTACCAATGATCCATTGTTTGAAGAAACTTTTCTAATGAAATTAAGAGGCCATTTTAGAGGTGATCCAATATCTGGTGAATATTTGAATACATATTTAAGGGAAAGCTACCATGTAAACCATGATACATGAAGGCTTCCACAAAAGTTGACAAGTGGATGGAATGAAACAAATATAATTGAATGAGAATGAGGTAGTACCTGAGTAAGGGATGGGAAATAAATGACCTTATTCTGAAGCACAATTGGCTAAGAGAAAAAACAAAAAACATACACAGTGCACCAAGATGTGATATCTACCTGACTACAAACGAATTGTCTATTTCTATACTTTTATTCTTTGAGGGCTATAAAGTGTGGTACTTATACTTATTTTAAAAATGTAAAAATTAGAAGAAAGTAAGACATTGCTTTAGCTTTGATTCAGATGTTTGTACTAGGAGACTATACTTATAATATCTTCTGTTCCTATGTAATGACATTATTATATGACTGCATATTTGACTCTTAAGAAAGGAAAGAACGATGCCAAATACTGAGTCTGTCTAGACAAGTCATTTTCATTACTTCTTTTTGGGCATGTGGTACAATATGAGATTTTCCACTTTAACTACTTTTAAGTATGCAGCTCTGTGGCATGAAATACTTACACGTTGTTGCAAAGTCATCTCTACTACCCATCTGCAGAACTTTTCATCTTCCTAAACTGATAGTTGCAGCCATTAAACAAAACATTACCCTCCCCTTTCATTCCCCTCAACCACTGATGCTACTACCATTATACTTTCTGAATGAATTTGGCTACTTCAAATGCCGTCATATACATGGCGTCATACAATATTTATACTTTTGTGACTGGTTTATTTCACTTCGCATAATGTTTTCCATATAGTAGTCATTCTTAACTATGCAAACGATCACAAGATTCCTTTGAGAATCTGATGTAAACTAAAGATCCTCCAAGCAGAAAAACATGCATGTACATGTATGCCAAAGCTTTTGCATTCAATTTGAAAGATTTCTCAATCCCTTGAAGTGGACCTGTGATTCCTAGAGTAACAGCCCTTAACATGGACTAAAAAATTATATATATATGTATATATATACACACACACACACATATATATATATATAATTTAATTCAAAATGTGACTCTGAACTGAACAATAGCTGGGAGTGAATGTTCTTATTGGTATCTAGGACTGCATCTATACAGAACTATGGCAGTTGGAATCAGACACATGCCAGACAACGGATGACCCTGAAGTTGAAATTACCTGTCCTTACCTCTAAAATGCTTCCTACTAAGGAAAAGTCAACCTAATACATAGTAATGTAAGCAGATAAGTTGTTGGAGAAGCAAGTTAGAATGAATAACTAAAATAACATGAGAGAGTGCTAAAGTTAAGTGGTTGGTATAGGGCAGGATTTTGACATAAAACTAATCCAGTTGGGTCTCATGATGCAGGCCTATAAATCACACTGTTCAAAAGACTGAAGCGGAATACATCCTAGAAACAAAGTGAGACTCTCTCTCCACATAATGAGAAGGACTGTCTGACGATGTGGCTAGATGTTCTCTGGCTTCAGTCTGCTGTACCACAAAACAAACAAACAAACATAAAAAAATCTTGTAATGCCTGTTTCTGTTTTTGCCTGTGACTACAAGTGCTTCATTTAATTTATATTTTAAATTACAATTGCTATATTTTCACTGGGTTTTTGGAAAATTATTTGACAAAATCCTTTTTATTTCATTATGGACAAATTTGATTTGGTTTTGGATTGTTTGTTTCTTCTTTTTCTGTTCCTCCTCTCCTCTTCTGCTCCCCCCTCCGCCTCCTCCTTGTCTACTTCTTGCTTCTTTCCTCTTTCCCTCCTTCCACCTTGTCTTCCCCTTCTGTTTCTTCTAGGAATTAAACCCAGGGCCTTTGCACTGGGCTACATCCTCTACCTCCGTTTTATTTTTGAGACAGGGTCTTGCTAAGTCACTGAGTTGCCCAGGCTGTTGTCATGTTTGTGATCTTTCTGCCTCAGCCTCCCAATATGCTGAGATTTCAGGCATGTACCACCTCAATTGCAAATTTTTAGTTTTGTTCCTGGAAGCCTGATGAAAATTTTAGGTGTATTACTAGATAACTGTTTGGATTGAAAGTGGTGGAGAAATTAAGCTAAAGAAGAAAATAGAATTACTTTTTAATTCTTTTGAGACAGGGTCCTGCTGTATAGCCCAGGCTGGCTTTAAACTGGTGATCTTCTTACCTCAACCTCTTCAGAGATGAGATTACGGGCATAAGGCAACAAGTTTCTTAAGAAAGATTAATATGTATACACTCACTTGTGTTAGATACATTTTTTATATATATACTATATATAAAATATATATATATATTATATATTATATATATATATTAAAAGATTTCAATGGGTTTATTCTACCTAGAGTTGAAGCATATGAATTGTTTTCTGCAGGAAATTGCTAGGTAGAAGGTAGCTTTGCTCTTCTCCAAGGCAAAATTCATCCTCCAAAGGAATCAAGTCAATGTCCCTCTATGTTGGACAGAGCCACCTAAAACTGAAATTTTTCTCTTGTAGGCATTTTCAGCTTTCTACTTTGTGATGAATTTTTTAAACATGACATCAAAAGAAGTTTCCTATCAGGAAAAGATGAATGAGATAATGGAAGAATATTGCTCTAGGACGTGGAAGGAGGTAAGTGAAGAGACCCAGCAATTGCTCCATGCCCTTAAGAGTATTACAGGAGATGAGTCTGCTCTTAACTTGTGCTGATCAACCAAGTCCCACTGAATGTGTTAGAGAAGCCCATGAGGTGGGCTCGTGAATGAACTGGTAGTCTGACACACAATAACTTAAATCAGGTATTATGTTTCTCACCTAATGTAAAGTCTGACAGTAATCAGGTGCTGAAATGGGGACAGTAGCTCACTTCTATTGTAGTCATTGCTTCTTCAATTCAGTTGTTATGCCTGTATCCACATGGACACAAGGTGGCTACAGTGTCCAGGCACGGTGACACACAACTATAATCCTAAGTACTCAGAAGGCTGAGGCTGGTGGAATCCTGGTAAGATCAAGGCAAACTTGGGCAACTTCGTAAGACCTTGCTCAAAATTGTTAAAAAACTTTTTCTTTTTTTGGTTCCAGGATCAAACTCATGACCTCATGCTCACCACACAGGCACTTAAATCGCTGAGCGAAATCCCTGGCCCCTAAAAATATTTTTTTAAAGGGTGGGCTATAGAGCTAAGATCTCCCTGGGTTCAACTCCAGATCTGGGAAAAATAAAGATTATGGTAACTTCTACGTTCAAGGTCAGAACAATGGTAGAACCAGATATGTCAGTTTTCTTTTCACAAGAAAAGAAAGGCCATACCCAAAGCCCTTTCCAGTTTCCCCTAAATTATTGAATTTTATTTTTTATTAATACACAATAACTATAGATTTTATGGGGTATAATGTGATTTTTAACACATTGTATGTATCTATACATATATATCACTGATTTTAAAAAGTATGAACGTATCTATTTCTTAAAACCTATCATTTATGGTAAGAAAATTCAAAATCCTCTTTACTAGCTCTTTTGAAATAATGTTTACAGTAGACTTTTGTTAATTATAGTCATACTGCTGTGTGAAAGAACATCAAAACTTATTCCTAATTGTAACTGTACACTCTTGCCAACATCTTTTCTTTCCCTCCCTGCTACCTTTCTTAGCCTTTGATAACAACTACACCTTGACTCAACTCTGTGAGTCAACTTTTTATATTCTGTGCAAGTTAGATCATATGGTATTTGTCTGAGTCTGGCTTACTTAGTTTAACACAGTGTCCTTCAGATTTTTCCATGTTGCCCAGAATTATGGGATTTCATGCTTTTTTTAAAGTTTTTTTTTATTTTAAAGAGAATAAAATTAAGCAAACTAAAACAGAACAAAGCCAATCAAAATAAACCAGTGTCAGTAACACAGGACTTCAAAACAATATGAAATCAGCAATGGTTACCATAGTGCCTCTTGTTGTCTTCAAAATAGCTGTAAATATCTTCAGACATAATAAAAATCAAACAAAGCAGAACAGAATAGGACCAATAAAAACAAAACTATAAATACAATAAAGGACTTCAAAACACAATAGTAAATCCAAAATGGCTACCATAATATATCTTGCTACTAACAGTGTAGAAGTGTTCGTTTTTCTCAACATCCTTGTGCTGGGGATTACTTTGTATGTGCTAGTTAAGGGCTCTGCTATTGAGCTACACTTTTAATAACCATTCTAAAAGGAGTGAAGTTATAAGTCGTTATGGGCATGTGTGCATGCATGTGTGTTTTAACTAATCACAGCTCCACTCTCAGAGATTCTGATTTAATTGGAGGAGCTATGCCTGGTTAGGTAGTAGAACTTTTTACTATGTTTTCAGAAACTTTGTACTTCAAGGTAACTTAGCTTCCAGGAATGCCTTTGACGGTGCTCCTTCCCTTTCAGTTTCATTAGTTTGAGGAGCACTGGCATCAGGTCTTCCTGAAGTTCTTGTAGAATTTAATGGCCAATATCTCAGATCCTGAGATTTTCTTAATTGGCAGGTTTTTCATTCCTGCTTTAGTTTCATTGCCTATTACTGGATCATTTCATCTCACTGCAGGAAGAATGACAAACATCAAGAAATCAAACAGTAACAAATGTTGGTGAGGCTCTGAGGAAAAAGGAGCCCTTTTACATTGCTGCTGGGAAGTAAACCAGTACAAACACTATGAAAATCAGTATGACAATTATTAAAAGACTAAAAAATAGAAATTTCATTTGATCCAGCTATTCCCCCTTGAAGTATCTTCTCCAAAAGAGTTCAATGCATGATATTACAATGTTACATGGCTACTAATGTTTACAGCTGCACAGCTGGTAATAGCTTGGAAGCAGGCTATATATGGTATTTATACACAGTAGAGCACTACTATGCCTGAAAGAAGGATAAATTTGAGTCATTTGTAGAAAAATGGATTTGCCTTGAGGCCGTAATGTTAAGAAACAAATCTGACACACAAACATAAATATCATGTGGCTTCTCTTTTATGAGAAACCTGAGGTATAAGTAATTTAAAGAATAAAAGAAGCAAAATAAAAGATAACAGGAAACAGGGAGCTAGACCTTTTACAAATGGGAAGGGGACCAAAATATCAAGGGAAAGGAGGAAGGAAGGAAAGTAAAAAGCATTGTGATGTGTTATATACATGTATCAATTCCCCAGAAGCAATGTAATCATTATGTACTGCAACTATGTATTAATAAAAAAATCTACAAATTTTAAATCTTGAAACATATGGTGTTATATTTAAGTAACAACAAAAAATGTTCATAACTAAAATATATGTAACTTTGTCTGGGCATGATTGCACACACCTGTAATCCCAGCATTAAGGAGGCTGAGGCAAGAGGACTGCCCCAAATTCAAGGCCAGCTTGGGCAACACACTGAGTGCAAGGCCAATTTGAAGCATATATTGAGACCATGTCTCAATCAATCAATCAATCAATCAATCAGATCTAGCTTAAAAACCAGCAGGTGATTAGAGTTGAGAATAGCAATTCCTTTAATTCTGCAAAAATGCTACTGTTTTTATATGTTGATTTTTGTATCCTATAACTTTACCTATCAGTTCTAACAGCTTTTTGATGGAGTATTTAGGTTTTTCTATTTATAAAACCATGATGTCTGTAAACATGGATAATTTGACTTTTCCTTTTCTATTTGGTTGTTCTTTCTTTCTCTTGCCTCACTGCTCTTGCTAAGACTTCCAATGCTGTGCTGAAGAATAGTGGTGAAATTGGCACCCTTGTCCTGTTGCAGTATTTCCTCATTTTCTATGTTGTTAGTGTGGGTTTGAATAGCCCTTATTATGTTAGGGTTCTTTCTATTCCCAATTTGTTAGGACGTTTTTTTGTTTGTTTTTTGAAATACCATGAAGGGACATTTAATCTTATAGAATGATTTATCTGCATCTTTTGATACCCTGGCCAGAATGTTAGATTAACTGATGGCATGTTTATTAGAAGAGATAAAGGAAAAAAAGGTGGGGCAAGGAGATACTGCATATGACATCTGGCATAGTTCCAAGTCCGTTATATTAGTTTGTATTCACCTATGTATGTTTGGGAGGAACAGATTAATGGCTGAGGTATAGGACAACAAACAATACTCTAGACTAAGCTAGAGATGTCCTGGCCTGTTTTCTTCTAATTAAAGGTAGGAGAGCAGGAGAAAAGACTGGACATCTGGCTATATATTCACAATAGGTAGGATGGGTAAGTGACAGCAGCTCTTTGTATTTTCAGTAGAGACTAGGATGACTAAACACACGCAGAACTCAATAAGACAATGACTTTGCATAACTCAGATGTGGAAAAAAAGTAAATTAGGAAAAACTATCGAAGGTGAGATGTCAGCCGTTCCAGTAGTCATTAGAAAAATGTTTCTTAAGGTGTGTTCCACCAGGCATGGTGGTTCACACTTACAATTTCAACACTCTGGGAGGCTGAGGCAGGAAATTGGTAAGCTGAAACTAGCCTGGGTGATTTAGCGACTTAGCAAATAAAAACTATAAAAAGGGATGGATCTCAGTACAAAGGACCTGAGTTTAATTTCCAGTGGGGGTAAAACAAAACAAAACAAAACAAAAAAAAAAAACTGTTCAAGAGCTGTGTTTGTCAAACTACTGTACACACAAATCACCTGAAAATAATAATAAAATGCAGATTCTGAGTTGGTAGTTCTGAAAAAGAATCATAAAGCTCCCAGAAGATGTTGGTGCTATCAGTCCATGGACTATTTTTTTACCCTGTTTTCTTAACATGCTTATTGATGTAGAGGAAAACCTTCCTTTAGCATACTTTAAAACCCTCAGCACCCACTGGGGAGTGCGGCACGATTCACTAAACCTTTGGGAAAGCTGGCCCTCAGTTCCACATGAGCCAGGGCTCTTATCGTCTTTAATCAGGTCTAACTGTGAAAATGAGAGTGATTGTGTTGTCATTCTATTGCTATGACAAAATACTAGAAAGTATCAACTTAAAGGAGGAAAGATTTATTTTGGTTCATAGTTTCAGCTGATGGTTGTTTGACCCTGTGGCTTTTGGACCTGTAGTGAAGACATCAATCATGGTGAAAATATGTGATGGAGGAATCCTACTCCCCTTACTGCAGCCAGGAAGTGCACAGGATTTAAAAAAAAGGTTGGGAACAAGACATGGCCTTCAGCAGAATACCCCAAAGCACCTACTTCCTCCAACTAGGCCTCACCGCCTAAAGGTTCTGTTACCTCCTAATAATGTCATCCGTTGACAACCAAAGCTTTGGCAGATGGCTGGGGTGGGGGCTGCATTTCAGATCTAAGTCATAGCAACTATCAAGAGACGCCTGTCCAGCAAGTGTGATATTACTTTCACTTTACTTCTAGGTAAGGACATCTTTTCCTGAAGTGAATGAGAAGTTCCTGAGTGCATACTGCTTTTCGGGTACCTACATCCTCTCCCTCCTTCTACAAGGCTATCATTTTACAAACAGTTCCTTGAAGAACATTCATTTTATGGGCAAGGTAATTTGGGTAACTTTTTGGTTGTGGAGAAGTTAGGTGGTAGTGACCAAAGCAGGTTTAGGCTTAAAAAAGGTGAAAGTCAAGTTTTGCCCCATTCTGTTCTATTCCATTCATTCCATTCAAGTTGGTATTCTGTGTCAATCCCTTCTGGAAATATCAAGTAGGTATGGGTACTTCTCCAAGGAGAGCTACTTGAATTCTAAGAAACACCTTTCTGCCCATAGAATAAAGTAATTTTTATAAAACAATAAACAATGCAAAATTAAAGTAATATAACCGATTTTATTAACCACAATGGATTTGCATGCTGACTTAAAATCTCTCCCTACCCCATACAAGAAAAGGATGATCATAGTTTCTTGAGAGTAGTACAAGGCTTTTTCAGTTGTCTCCAACAAAAGTTGACCAACCTGATAGCTGTTTGTGAAGAAAGGGAGTGTCTATGAGAGGGGGCATTGCTTAGAAGCCAGGCTTAGTTAGTAAGGTGAGTCCTGAAGCAGCCTCACTGCTGTCTTTCACCATTGTGCCACCTGCAGGTATTCATCTGCTGCGGGACTCATTCTTGAAAAAGAGTAAGAGCAGTGTTTCTCTGCGTTTTTAAATGCATGTCCACTGGTGGTAAAAAGACTCTACCCTTTTAAAAATATAGTGATCTCAATAAACGAAAATATCAAAGGAGAGGATGCAATAGCTCCAAAGATACTAGTGCACTCTCTTCAGTGCTAACCTTGCTAAATTCAAATTCGTAGCTTTTCCTTGTTTTAGTACTCCAGATTTCCTTCCATTACAACAAATTATGTTTTATAAAAAATTTGAAAGATCTATGTCAAAGTTATGAGTGACATTCAGGGAAGTTGTATTTTGTATTCTTTGAACTCCAGTGCATGATCCAATGTTTCTAAGCGTTCCTGGACACATGTAATCAGATAAGATTCTATCCCCTGACAGATAAAGGTGAACCTTTTTAAATTTAATTATGTTTATTGGTACAATTTAGGTAGACATAATGATCCCATTCATCCTTTTATAAATTATTAACTCCTGATACTGACAACAGTTTGAACATAGAGGAAATTTCAACATAATAATTGGTTAGATAATGAATTGGCATAACCTTTTAGATTAGTTTTGACAGTACGTGCTAAGAGTCTTAAAATGCACACATCATTTTATCCATTTACTCCATTTCTAGGATTTTTAAATCACTGGGATATAGTGAATAAAAGTAAATGTATGAGGCAGTTCATGCCAGTGATGATGATATAGAAATGATGTAGAAATATCGTAAGATATTTGAAATAATGTTCACAAAGTATTGTTCAATGACTTATTCTGTGTTTTATTCCACTTTTTGTTTTAAAAAAGTGTTCATAGAGAATCTGAATAATGTGTCACAAAATGGAAAGAACAGTTTCAGGGTGGTTAAAGATGGATGGTCTTGACTTTTTTAGGCTTACACATACTTTCTAATTTTCTAATATGAATATGGATAAATCATTAATTAAAAACATTATTATTCAAAGGCCATATATATTCCATTAAATTCTGAGGTGACTGGGTGATATTCCTAGGAGGAGAGGAGACTCAGAGCATGTTTTTACTATTTAATAAGAAACTTTTCTTGTGCACACACGTAGTCTTCCAATTTCTATAAAATAAGGTAAGATTAATTTCACTAGGGAAAAACTAGTGAAACCCTGGTTTTATATGGATGAATGTCCTGGCCTGACAAGATATTAAAGGCCAAAGAGTATCATTCCATTATCCTTTTGTTTGCTTCCTGTCATCTCCCCTCATGCATCTTCCCCATCTCCCACTTTTGTACAAATAAGAAAATAAAATGCAAAGCTCCAATGGTTTGAGTGAAGTTTTTCTAGCCAAGAGAATTGGGCGATCATCACCAAATTCCTTTCTGAGCCTTAGGAATATAGTAGTGAGGTTCCAAACTTTCTTCTAATCTCTTGCTGATATTTTCTCCATACCGAATCCCAAGAATAGAATATAAAATCAATCAATTTAGATAACTGCACAGGGTACTGTCCACTTACTTGTTGCTCATTGTTATACTGAAGTTGCATGAAAACTAGTTTATCTTCGTGGACCCAAAAAAAACCCCAGATTTTTATAACTGTTTGCAGATTGAGGGCAGCAGCGCTGGATGGACTTTGGGCTACATGCTGAACCTGACCAACATGATTCCAGCTGAGAAGCCATGGACTACACCTCTCTCCCACTCCACTTATGTCTTCCTCATGGTCTTCTTTTCCCTGATACTGGTTGCCGGGATCATTACAGGCTTGGTTATATTTAAAAATCCTTCATATTTCTGGAAAGAAATGGTATAGCAAAAGCAGCTCAAACCTACTGGCTGGAATGGGAAAAATATTTTCCCAGGGAGTGCTTTCCTCCACACAACTGTGTGCAAGTTCCTCCTTCCCTAACTGCTAGGGCCAGTCTTGACCAGCATGAAACACCTTTGGCTTTTGCTGAAGAATTTCCTTGGGAGATATTCACCATCTTCTGGCTCAAGGATTTCCTGGCTGATGTGGTCTTTTTCCTTTGTACTCTGTGCTTATGTAAGTTATAAAGACTTGGCATCTTTTGTGATTTTTGCTTTATAAAAGAACAATACTGACTTTGTCAAGAAGAACTGAGAATTCTGAGTCTTGTGCTGGGAAATCAAACTAGTTACTAGAAAAATCTCAGGAACTGGTTCGGTCATGCTCTTTAAAAATTCCACTCTCCTGTTTCACATATATTAAGAAAGCCATATAATATCTTTGAAGAGACCAGATACGTATTCCATTCTAAGCCTGCTCTTTGGGTAAGAGAATTGTTTTAGATAGGCAAATGCATGCTAAGACCAAAAAGTTTTACAAGGGAATCTGTGTGCTCATGAAGTTAATATTATTCTGAATCTCCTTTATATAGGTAGGAATGAGTTACATATTCCTGAGTTATGCCAAAATGCCACCAAGTACAACACACAGTCTAGAGATTTTTAAAAAGAAGATGGGTTCTGTGGACTTTTAGATATTAGGACGTAATATGTGGTAGGTATATACATGTTAAAAAGAAAAATATAGTTACAACTCAAGTTTGGTAAAAATTTATCCTCCAATGATTTTGAAGTTTTTATTATATCATACACATAACATATAATTCACTGTGTTAACATTCAGATGGTACAATTTAGTACATTTACAATGTTCTGCAGATATCATCACTGTTTGGTTCTGCATTTCGTCACCAAATAGTTGGCTGGAAAAAAAGAACTGTATTTGGGCATGTTTAAACCCCAGACCTTTTTTTTTTTATTATTTGTACCAGGGATCGAACTTACAGCTGCCTGCTTGCAAGTCAGGTGCTTATGCTGCTGAGCTAAATCCTCAGCCCCTAAACCCCACACCTTTTCCCTAATAGTTAAATGTGCCAACCAACTGCAGCATAAAGATGAAACATCAAGTTTTAAAGCCATGCCACATGTTGTTGTCACAAGTTTAATTTTAGTGAGAGGATTCTATGCCTTTTCCATGTTGTTGTATATATACATTAAAATGTGCTGGGAACCATGTCTGTCACACACACATGGGTTTTATTTACTTTTCCCATACAATATTTCATAGAAGTGGCTATGGATCTTATTATAGAAACATGAAGAGATCCTATACCTCTTGCCCCTTAAGGATTAGCAGTTACCTGTTTAGCAGGGTTGGGGGGTGATATACTATTCCCACCTTAACCCAAACTATTTGTTCATCTGTGGATCTGAAGACTGAGTATTGAGCTGATAAGAGAGGAAAAGTTATCTCACAAACTAAATGCCAATGTCTCTTTATCTCTGGAACAATAGAGGTATACTTAATAACAGTCAGGTGAACACAGAATTAATGAAGCTGTGGACAAGAACTATTTTTTTTTCTGCTACTCAGTTTAATTTGCTGAACCTTGTAATCAAAGCTGAGAAGCCAAACTGGTATGTTCAAGCTCTCTTTTTTGGTGGCAATTGGTTATATTAGTATAGCTGCTATTAACTGAGCATATTGGCAGTATATTAATACTCTGTACTCAAGTGCATTGTGTTCATTTCCTCCTTTTATCCTCATGACAATCTGAAAAATGTAGCTGTTAGCACTCCTGATGCCTGTGACAGAGCTGAAACTCAAATTCACATTTTCTGCCCCATGTTTACTGTTTTTTGCTTTACTAAACACTTTCCCTCAGAAAGTTTGAATTGGAATTGACAAGTTTCCTTCAGAGAGCATAAATCCTTTCTCGCTTCTTTATTTTTGTCGATTTAAAACACACAAACTCTTTTGGATATTTGGGAGCTAACCTCCACTTGTCAAAAACCTCAAAATATGGAGATAATCAATAGGCACAACATAACGTCAGTTCTATTGGAGGGAATGTTGATTTTGAGGCAGATACAGGAATCTTCTTGTGGGCAGGCTGGTTGGACTCAAATAAAATGGGCCACTATCAATTAATTTTAATGTTGGTCCTAGTCACTGACTATAGTTAATTACTATTCGTCCCTAAACTTTCACCCAGAACTCAAAACTTGATTCTGATAACCTTATTTATTTATGAGGTAGGAAAATATTATTTTTATGAACTCACAGTGGTTACTGCTGTAGACAAAGTAATGGGACTACATAGTTAGACTATATGGATATTGATGGAGGGAGAGAGAGGTTTCAACTCATCCAATTCTTAATTAGTGAGAAATACAAAATGTGATATAAATAAAAAAATTAAACCTATACATCATTTTAATGTTGCTAACACTTGGACTAATGTTAAGATTCCTCAAAGAAACAGATGCTATACTTCAAACCAAGGAGAGTTTAACAAAGTGACTGAATGTAAGACATTCTCATTTCAACAAGTATTCAATATAAAAGTTATTGAATTTTTAAATATTAAAATCTGTACTCTATATTATATTTACAGAATATTTTCATTAGACTAATCACATTCCAAGTGCTATAGATGGCTAGTGGCTAACACATTAAACAGCATATGTATAAAGATATATACTTAAAGCTAAAAAGAAATGAACATTTACTGTCTTTCCCTTGGAGAAAGGAGAGTTAACAACTAAAGTTGCAGTAACATTTGGTACTACATTACATATGAAGTTTTCTGTTATTCTTATTTGTGCTTTGTAGCAATTTTGCTTCATTTGTAAAGTTTTGCTGCCTTCTTGTGGAGAAACAGATACTTGTTATTTGGGCCAAGATGATCAATGAGAGACTTTGGGAAATTTTTCTGGGATTCAGAGATAATCCTTGATGCTTGCATTCCTCAAAATATAAATTTGAATATTAAAAATCAGCCTTTTCATAGCTCATGTAAGAGTAAAATTACTTTTAAAATACATTCCCATTTATTTTCAGTTTCGTTGGTCTGGTTTCTCTCTGATCCAAATTCAAATAGTATTTTGTTGGAACATGATTGTTGCTTATAACTAGCTGTATTCAGTAACTATATACTTCTTTTAGTTGGTATTTTTATTTTTATAACAGCTTCAAAGTTTGGGTGGCTTAGCACAATAAACAGGGAGTAGGCTTGCATCGGTCTGGTTACTTCTGTCTCTTGTTCTCCTTGTCCAGTGGCTTCATGGGGCATGTTCTCATGATAAATTCAGGGCTAATGAAAGTGAGGGGAATCTAGGAAATCTCTTATGGTCTTGAACAGGACAGGCCCTTTGTCACTTTCACCCGCTTTCTTGGGACCAAAAAAAAAAATCATATGATCAATATCAGCAAATTAGACAAATGCTTAGAAGAATGACAAGTCATGTAGCAAAAGGCGTTGACAGTACGAACACAGGAAAGGAGTGAAGCATTGGGCAAAATAACATGATATATCCCAGTGTCTCACAAACTGACATGTAAAGTGTGTTTCCTATAAATTGCAATTTACTTACCTCATTGTAGTGGTTTGGATCTTAAATATTCCCCTAAATCTCATGTGGTCAAGGCTTGCTTCCCAGCTGGTGGTGCTATTATGAAAAGTGGGACATCATTAGAGGACATAGGTCATAGGTCATTCCCTTGAAAAGCAAATATTATCCCCAGGTCTCCCTATCCTTCTCCTTCCCAGATACCATGAGGTGAGCACTTCTGTTCCACCATACCCTCTGCCATGATGCTGTGCCTCAGCATGGGCCGAGAAATGATGGTGCCACATGGCCATGGGCTGAGACCTCGGAATGTTTGTGCCAAAATAAACCTTTCTTCTTTCTGCATCGCCTTTCTCAGGTATTTTGTCACAGTAACAAAAAGCTGGCTAAACACACTTGTGTTGTAATATTTTCTGGAAAAAGGTAACTTTTTTTTACAGTCTTAACCAAGATTCTCTGGCAGCCCCCAAACTAGCTTATCATTCTACACTGGTAGATTTCCTAAGCATCTGTGTGTCTATTTATTTTTCTTACATTATGTTTAGGACAATGTATTAGCTAATACCCACTTTTTATTTGCACATGAATCTAATATAATTGAACACAATCTGTTTTATCACATATGTAATAGATTTTTCAATAAAGGGGAAAGAGGTACCTAGATGACATTATCTTTACATAAGCAGCCTTCAAGATTATTGGTTAGATGAGGCCTTTTGCTTTTTTCCAATTAGATAAATTTCTTTCTAAATTTGATTGATACAACAGTGGCATTACCATTATCAGCAATAGAGTTAAGTTTTTGTTTGTATATCTGTTTTGCATGTATGCTAAATAGTGAAAATCACCAGAACACACAGATTAGATAGTGGCAAGGGAGACATATCATTGCGATGAAATTCTTACAATGAGGAGTGAGGAAAGTCATGGAGACCTGACTGGAATTGGTGTGTTTCTGGGATGAGCTAAATTGATCTCTCAGCCTAACATGGACCTTCCTGCCATATTCTACTCTGAGTAATGCTACCACTACCTCCACCAATTAAGCCAAAATCAACTCCATCCATAGAATCTGTTCATCATGCTTCTGTAACATTTTCTATTTTGATTCTCTCTTCCAATCTTATTGGAATCACCTTAGTAAAGATGTGTGCTGTCTTTCATCTGTGCTGATACCAGGAATTGTGATTTTGCTTCTAATCATTGCTACTGGGCTAATCTTTACTAAAGCAGGCTTAATTACATTTGTCCCCCAAATGAAATCGTTGATAACTTTCTATTATGTTCAAAATAAAACCAAACTTCCTGGCAGATATGAAATACTTTAAAAATCCATGGCTACCAGCTCTCCTCCAGCTCACATTCCATTTTACCCCATTGATGTTCCTTCCCTACACTCAGGCAAGGAGACTGATTATTCCTCTGACACTATTCAGATTCTCTCAACTTGGTACCCTTCCCCTCCTCTGTCTTTAAAGCTCGCCTCATTTCGTGAAGGCCACCAAATCACCAAGTCAGAATGATTCCTTGGTTCCCCTAGCTTTTAATTTTTTCCTCCCTTAGAAAATCCAGACAGTTCTGGTCAGTATTTGGATATTCCTTGGGGCAAAATATGTGACCTATTTCTTTTGGAAAAATAAGGCTCTGTTAACCTAAATTACAGTCCTAGCCAATTTTCCTTCCTTCCAGGCCACGGATTTTTTTCTTATCTACTACTTCACTGCTGTCCTTAAAAAGCAGCATCTTCTACCATGGGCCAACTCAAGGGCCACTGACAAGGCTTACTTTTCTTTCACAATTCTTTTGTGTCTGTGTTAGTTTTCCATGCCTCAGGAGAGTCCTCCCTGCCTGGCCCTCTTCTTGGAGTCACCACTGCCTCATACTCAGTGCCTGCAGCCCCTCAAGGGTTTCTCCCAGCTCTCTTGCCCTTCTGTGAGCCTTGAGGGTATTATGTCCCACTACCTGCTGCACACCCTTGGAGGTCCAAGAGGTGCATGGTACGTTATGCTGGAACACGTGCAAGCTTTTAAAAACTGTTAAAAGTTTAGCTTGTTTCTTAGCATTCCTATCTATGGAAGATTTTCTCTCCAGTCTATTAAAGATGAAAACAAGTCACTTTCAGGGATTTAATTCAGATAGCTTTTTAACAAAATATGATTTTGTACTATAACCATCTGGTTAGAATTTATAATTTCTTGCCATATGCACACTTATTTTGTTCTTATCTACTACTTCACTGCTGTCCTTAAAAATCAGCTTATTCAACCATGCACAGTGAGTAAATAAATTATCTGGAAATTGATTTTAAAATTTTAGAACATTTTATTTTTAATTATTGTTTTAAATTAACAAATAATAATTGCATGTTATTTATAGAGGATAGTGGGATGCTCTGATCTGTTTATACACTGCAGATTCAATCAAACTATTTAACATATTTACGTAGACAACTTACCAGGTTTTTATAATGAAAACAAAAATCTATTCTTTTAGCAGGAAATCATTCATTCTTTTACAATGTTTGCAAGCAGATATGCAATTCATTATCATATGTAACTAAAAGTCTCATTAAATCAAATAAATTTCCAGTTTTCAAAAAGCAACAATTATTTTTATTGGAGTTTCCTCCAATATACCAATAGTCTTTTTAAAAAAAAATAGAAACATAATGTAGATTAGCAGTAACCAAACTTTCTGACACAAGGGACTGGTTTTATGGAAGTTAATTTTTTCATAGCAAGGGATAAGTATCAAAGGTAAATAGGTTTAGAATGTTGTCAGAAAACAAACAAGCTGTGCTACCCACGGCACCTGTATGTAATCCTACTATTCTGGGAAGTTGAGGCAAAAGGCTTATAAATTTGAGCCCAGTTTGGGTAATCTAACACTTTACTGAGACCCTGTTTCAAAATATAAAAAAAGGGTTGGGAGTGTGGCCCTTTTGGAAGTGAAAAGGATCAAGATGTGCTATGTGCATATGCATCAACTGCCCAGAAGGAATGTATATATTGCAAACACATGTTAATTTTCAAAAATTACACAAACTTAAAATTAAAAAGAATCTAATGCTGTCCTTTATCAGCTGGTGGCAGGACTTGTATGATCATGTAAGTGATGGAAAGGAACTATAGATACAGATGAAGCTTCTCTTCCTTGCCTGCAGCTCACATCTTGCTAGTCAAACTTGCTCCTAACTGGCCGTGATGCTGACAGGTGGACAGTTTTATAATTACAGAATGATATTTTGATATGCAACTTATTCGTTTAATTATGAAATGATTGTTTTGCCAAGTGTCACTGAAGAGGAGGGAAAGGAGAAATAGACTGTATGTATGAATGACCAACAGTTTTTAAAATTAATACTCAGCACTGATTCTTTTTTTTCTTGATGGTAAAAATATAATTCTCCTTTATAGCTCTATAGTCTATAGGAATACTGTAATTGTAGTCAAAATCTTAAAAAACACGACCTTTTTCTCTAAAATGGTTAACAACTATTAAAATTCACAGAGATACACACATTCATGTGAAGAATATGATATGCAACTTCTGACCTGAATAATTAAATCTTCTTGAAGGATGCATTTTTTTACTGAGACAACCAATCTACTGCTATAAGAGAAACAAGTTATTTTTACATTATTACTAAAATTTTAAAATATTTACTGAAGTACACTAATATTGCACATATCTAAGTGTCCAGTGCAAAGCTGCTTCAATTATTATTATTTTGCCAATCTTAGTAAATAAGTGCTGGTTATAATCTCAAATGGAACAGCATTCGAGCTTCTTGAAGAGTACTGTACCAAAAGAAGAAAAATGTATTCTTTTTACTGACAGTCAAATGGTAAAGACGGGCAAAATCAGTCCATGATACATGACGGTAAACTAAATAGGGGATACAGAAAGATGCACTTTGCTGACTAAAATTCAAGGAAATAGACATTTTGTAGGCTCTGTTCATCCTGCAGGGAGGACCAGACTATAGCGGCTCTGCTTATCTACTCCTTTTTAAATTATGCAGTTAAAGAGAATAACAATACTCTTGGTATAGCAGCAAATCAGTGGGTATACTACTTAATGACAGTCTCTTCTAGAATAACACTGAGGAGCAGGGTAATGATAATGAATCATTACTTTAAATTATAACTTTTGCTTTTCACTCCTCAGTTTACATCTTGATGCCTTTCTTCATAACCTCCACTAAGTCATAGATTTATGGATTCCAGTAGGTTTTAAATACATGTTTTAGTGTATTTATGACAGTCTCTTCTTACCCACTCTTTAATAAACTATATTATATTGACCCATCAGTCGTAGGTCAGTTAAAAGAAAGCCAGTAAAGCAATCTATTTTATCTGTCATTTCCTTTATTTTTTCTCACAAATTTATTTTTTTGGTGTATCTAAACCTTTCTTTTAGGTCTGTCTCCTTTATTGGAATAATTTTGAGTCATTTTAAATGCTGTATATAGTAGCTAAAGAAGTGAGACAAGCAAGAAAACTGAACTTGCACTCTTTCATATAGTATAATTGTAACTGGACCTCAGATTTAAACTGACAGGAGGGAACTGACAGCCATCTTGGATACTGGATTTTGCTGACCAATCTTGTCTTTTATCTTGTCCAGTGGAACACAATGGACTAGGGCTAGGATATTAACTCATAA